ATATATATATATATCAATATACCGCAAACATCCGTATACCCTGATCAATCGCAGGTGGACAAGTGGAATTGGAAGGTCTTCTCAAGTGTAGTATCTATGTGTCTCTTGCTCATTTGGTGCGCACCTTGGCTCCGTTCACCTCCTCTCGTTGCAGCTCATGTTGGTTGGCAATGGACGTTTGCTTTGGCGAAACCTCATGCTTGTGCTGCGCACTCACCACCAAAACGGGTGCATAGGCATTGCTTGGGTCTGCTCGCATGAAGGCTAGGACATGAAGCTGTTTTGTTGGCCAAGGGGCACGGCCAATTGCTGGCCAATAGGCCCTTGACTGCAATGATTGCTTTTCCTCAGGATCAACAAGAGGCCGAGCCAACAACGCGTGCACTCAAGGCCAAAGTTGGTTGCAAAGTTGTATAATTGCCCCACTTCTGCATAGACTTTGACAAGTTTGCAATGCGAATGCTAGACACATGCTGACACCACCATCACATCAAACATACTGCCGGGGTCTCATGGCTCGCCTGCGGTGCTGCAATTCCCTGCCAATGCATCCTCCAACTCCGGGCAGCCTCAAAAGCAAAAGCCCAAATCACAGACTCCCAGGTGCTGTTTTGGATCGTTTTGGACTCCATGATGGGCCAAACAGAAACCCGATTGGATCAGTCTTTCCAAATGTTTTCGGCCTCCGGTAACTCAGGAACTTGCGTCCAAGCTGCTAATGGAACCCCTGCATTAGCAGGATCTCCAGTGGACTCCCCTCAGCCATCCTTCATTCCGCCCAGTCGCCATCACAAGGAAAAACGTCCGACTCCAAACATCTCGGGCTGCTCTTGCGCGTGCTGTCTGGGCTAGGAAAAGCTTAGGACAATGGTACAAGGTACAAGAGTTCAGGGTTCCTCTGCTGTCTGGGGTGTTGACGTTGTACTGAGTCAGGCAGATAGCTGTGACAGACGAACACTGCTGGGGCTAACGGAAAATACCGGACCTCTCCGCCTTTGACGGGGTCACACTGTACAGGTCAAGGAGCTGCATCGAGCAACGGCCACAGAAGACCACCGATACAAATCGACTCGAGCAAAGGGTCTTCACCTTGTGAACCAAATCAAAACCCAAAACTATCGGGGACCCCAGTCACTGCCTTTGACCCACCAACTCTATTATGCAAGTTGTTTCGGCCAAGTAAAGCACGAGAAGCAATCTCGGCAAAGAACACCCCTGCCATCCACTGCTAAAACACCCCCCTCCCGATGGGATCCCCAAAGGAGGCTCCCGTGAGATCCCCGGCCGCAACCTCCGCCGCTGCGAAGCGACCCTCACGGTGCGCCAAACAGGCGCGGAGGAGCGTGGCCCGTGCGTGCAGGGCAGCGCCTCGTGGTCCAAGGGCAGCACGTTAAAGCCCATTGGGTGAGCAATGAGAGGGTCATTTTGAAGATTGTCAAACACAATTTGTCTGGGAAAAGCACTGGCAGCTTCTGCATAGCTGCCAGGAGGAGCAGCATTCAAGGAGGCCTTGCAAGGGGTCAAGGTATAGGGTAAAACAGACCAGTTTCATCTTCACATCTGGTGACTAATGACTAATGCATTCTCATGCTGAGAAAAAAGAGGTCTGCTATGGTTGCTATGTCAAACATCCCAGCCTCAAGCTCATCAAGGTGCTGATAACTCCTCCAGGTGGCAGAGTTTTACACACGGAGTGACAACAGCCGTTGGCTCATCCATGCTTCAGACTTGTTCGCTCCGTTGCAGCTGCATCCCATGGAGATAGCTGCTGGCTAAGCAAAGTTGGAAGAGCGACACCGCTGGCACGAGCCTGGAGAGCGGGGCCAAGGAAATCTCAAGCCTGAGGCGTCATCCATGCAGTGCGATCCCTTCAAAGGAGCCAGGCAAGCCAATGTGGAACTGCCCCTCCTCAGTACATGGAAGACTGGTAAAACCATGTCACACATATCCACAGAGATTTGGCAGAACTCCTGGACCCACAGCAGACTGCATCAAGACCTGGCACAAAGATTGGCTGCTACTCCAGGCCCATTGCTGACACCATGTCCCGCACGACACGCACATTTTGCAAGCCTCAATCTGTATACAAGCGCTTGGGCCGACAGCACAGGGTGGCCGCCATGCACTGGAGGTACCTGGTGATGGGCTGCAAAGCTCGGGCTTTGACTTTTTTACCTCATGAAAAACGAAAAACTTTGCAACGAGCCCCCCAAAGAGTTGTTCGACAGAACTTGGGCATTTTTTTGCATGCCTTGCATCTCGAGCCGTGGAGTTGCTCAGAAATGGTTGTGGCCCACACTTAGACTTAGAGGCCTCAACTCTGGCTGTGTTGGGATTGTTACTACTTCGCCAGCAGGCGAAATCACGAAAAAGGTCTGTGCATCGAGGGCGCTTGAATCCAGCACCTTTCCCCCAGGCGCTATATAGAAACACTCATGCTCAGAGTGCGCACTTGCTTCCAGATGCTCCTCCCCTTTAGGCTGGACCTTGGGGCAGCACCCAACACCCAAGTGTATGGCCTCAAAGTGCAAGGGGAATTCCACAGCTGCGTCGCGGTGGGCGATGACGGCTGCAACTGAGGCTTCTTGCTGCAAACGGGCCACAGCTCTCCAACATTCCTTCAGGGTGGCACCGGCAGAGCGAGGGAAGGCTGCCGTCATGGACTGCCAAGCTGACATGGAGTCAATGACCAACAGCCCTGCAGTGGGGTTTGAGGAGAAGATGCTACGCAGCTGACGGAGTTGCTGCAGCAAATCCAAGGGCTCACAGGGCCGGAAGACCAGCAATCGACCCAAGGCGTCAGTGACCAAATCCACAGCCTCCTCGGAGTTGACACCACTGCGCCGCGCCCGATCCTGAAGAAGCTTGGCCAAGAGCCACACATCGAAGGCATTATCAGCATCCACCAGCACTGAGGGAAGTCCGTGACCATCACAGGCCTTCGGAAGCAAATGGGTCGCAAGGATGTTTCGCAGCAGCACTGACTTGCCCGTGCTCGGCTCGCCATGCAGCACCACTGCATAGTCTGGGCTTAGAATGCCTGCTGGCAGGTGCTCATCAAAGCATGGCAAAGCAGTTCCACGGCTGTTGCGTAGCATCTGAAACAGGTCATACGCCTCGTGCAGTGAAAGCCAAGAAATTTAGGGAAGTTTCTTTCTGCTCACAAGTCACCACTCAACGTTTTAGCAGTTGCAGCCTAGAAGCTGTCTCATCAGGCGCAACAAGTGCCGCCGCCCTCACGCCGGCAGAAGCATCTTGCGAAACCACAGCCATAGCCATAGAAAGGCTGTCACGCAGCTGAATTCAGGAACTCCGTGCGGGATTTTGTCACAAATATATATATATATATATAATTATCCTATATTATCCTAAACTTTCTGCATACTGTTCATCGAGAGTCTATCTGAATCTAATCTAAACAGTTGCAAGGGGTCACTCAATACCCAACATCAAGGGGCCTCCAATCTGCGGCTTTTGACACACGAGCCGCTGGCCGAGAGCGGACAATGAGGTGACGCAATCACTGAGGAGCAAGAGAAACAAAGTATCCTTTTCAATCAAACCAACAGAGACAAAGAACACAGCTGTGGCAGCTGCCTCTCATCCTCAACTGTAGGTGGCCTCGTGCCAAAGAAGGCCGATCCCCCGAAGCCATCGATAAAGCTCTTGGGCCCTGCACGCTCCAATCGTCGCATGTCTCGCAACACCTCCGCCGCAAGAGCTTCGCCTCGGAGCGCTCCGGGGCACCTTGCGGGGCACGCAGCTTGTGGCTCAGGCCCGAGCCGAGTGCAACCACCTCCTCCTTGCAGGACAATGTCTGACAAGTGCCAACAAGAGTGATGGAAGATGGACCACAGCCCGTGCTGTCCCAGCCCAACTCCAGGTCACTTTGGTCCGGCCTCTGCTGTCTTCCCGCGGCACCAGCGCACCTGCGCCTCCAACAGCTGATCGACCTAGACTACCACGTCTCACAAATGTCGACTACGAATGAAATGTCCAACACAAACATCGGCAAAAGGGCTTTGAAAATGCTCAACGTCCAAAACAAACTTCCAAAATATAAAGTATGGATACCAAAATGGGCTTGTCACAAGAACCACCAACTGAAATTACCATTGAATCTGAGAAGCGGAAGGCTGTCGAAAGAAAATCGCTTCGTTCCAAAGGTCCTGGCGTTTGCTCAAATGGCTGTACTCACTCAGTTTTGTACGGCCCATCACACGGTCCTCCTCTGGAAGGTCACTGGGCCCAGGCTCTGCCCTTGGTGCCCTGGGAGGTTGACGTAGTTCAAAAAAAGGGCAGTGCAGTCCAAGGACCCGATGAAAAACACAACGCGTTCACCTTTATGTCAACTTGTGATGATCCACCGATTGCACCTCTCCCACATGAACACAAAAGATCGTGGCGCCTCTGCATCTGCGAGGGGGCCGGCACCTTAACGAGTTGATCATCTGCATTGAGTTGTGCCCAAATGTAATGTCACATTCCATTCACGTCTTTGCTGGGTCTTTTGGCAGTTTCCCTTTTCTTTCTCCATTTTTCTGGAGGCCTCTCGCTGTCGAACGTCCACGGCAAGCTGCTTCCTTGGGATCGTTGCATACGGTTCATTCAACCGTTCAAGCAGGCTCTTCGGCTGGGCAACTAGCTTCGCCACCATCAAGCGCCTGGGCCCCAAGATGGCGGGCGTTTGGTTTGATAGTCAGCTTAGAGTTTTGGGTGTTGAGATGTGTCAAGTCTTGAGAAATTGAAATTGTGTGCACGCATCACCGCTTTGGCAGGTGGTTTTTGTCCACTTTCTTGGTCAAACAGCTGCGGGTTCATCAACGTTCATGCCCTACTACTTTCTTCCATGAAAAAACCAAAGCCAGCCCCCACCCAAACAGGCGCTGGGCTTTCCTGCTGGGGGGACCGCCGCAGGGCTGGTCTTATTTCCTGTCCTAATCTCTTCGTCGTTTTCGGTCAGATTTTTTGCCTTATCTTTTGCCTCTTGAAGACAACACCCTTGGCTCAGTCCTTGTCCAAGGTGCTGAAGAAGCCCTATGACAGTTTCTCCATGTTTCTCCCCCTTGGTGCGTGAGCTCTCCCACACTGGAGACACGTCATTTTGCCTCATCCCTCTTCCTGAGTGCCTCATTTCTTCTGTCGGCCCAGTCTTTGCAGCTCCTGACTGCCAGATCTCCTCGGATTCGTGCCGCGTTTTCCCTTTTCCATTTGCATCCTCCTTCTCGCACGCCCCACAGATCCTCACTCGACTCACGACTCATCTCTTCTGAGAAAAGATGTGCTTTGAGATCCTTCCCCAACTTACGGCGCCGAAGATGCCCATTCCTCATGAGCAGGCAGCGGGCATCCCATTCCACTTCCCCATCGGCTGCTCGGTTCCTGAAAGTCCTTAAGTTCTTCGTGAGCAGGGTATCCGCTTTCTAGCTCCATAAGACCTTAGAAACAATCCTTCTCAATCCTCGCAACGGCCTCAAAACCGATCGCACTCAGCAGCCCCAACCAGGATGCTGGTCTGTGTTTCCTCACGTTCTCCAATCAATCCTTTAGCCATCCACCAGCTTCTCTTCCCTTCGGGTTTTTTCTCCAGACTAGGGTGCAAGTGGGAGGAACAAAATCATGTTTTTATTCATCCAAGCAAATCTAACAACAAATACAATTTTATTTTCAGTGTGACCTTTAAAATTCACAACCCTTGTGCTCTTGGTCCAAGGATTGCAGATTCGATCAATGCTCATGCCCTTACTTATATACATGTCCATCCTTCATTTAAAGAAAAAGGCTCAAAACAGAGAAAAAGGTGCAAAGACCTTGGAGCACATCTTGGTTTTGCAACTTCTGGTCCTGCGTTTGCGACTCCATGAAACTGGAACCCGCCTGTGCTGCAGCAGTTCACGCCAGGCCCTGCGTCAATCAAGACGAAAAACAGAGACGACAGGTCGCAATCACTGGCATCGGATGTCCTCGCCTTTGGATGGAGCGAGTGCTGCGAAGCCATGACGCCTGCGTTGATCAGTCACGAGCGGCTGGTGCGGGGTGGACAAAAGGCAATTCTGAAAAAATAACCTTCACAAAGTGACTCTGGTACCACGAGCTTCCATGAACCACGGCAACAAGATTTGGTGGCCCGCACAGTCATGCTGCCTCATCTACTCCGGGCCGCGGCCCACAGCGAACGCTTCGCCTGGGCGTCGCTCAGGCTTTCAAAGATGTCAGTCCATTGAAGAATGTCTTCCAAAGTATGCTTTATCTGCACTATTATTTGTCTTGGCCATTCTATTCTGAGCTGAGTTGTTGGTACAGTGTGTTTTGCAAACATCCTTCGACGTGCCCAAAACAAGAAGCAACACACCAAAATCGAGCAACCGCGCCTTACTTTATCACCCGTAAGTGAACTTGGATCTTCTGGGACCTGGCATGCATTCCTGAACCCGCACGTTCCACACACACACACACAGAAGTCGTGATTCCTGACGTGTAGGTATGGCCATGAGGAGCAAAAAAGATGCGGAACCGAGACTCCAGACAGAGAGGGACTGGACAGCATACCACAAGACAGGGGCAGGCAGGCAGACAGACAGACAGGACAGACAGGACAGACAGAGAGATAGAGAGAGAGAGAAATGCCTAGAACTTCTAAAGGTGCAGTTGAGTCTTTACGCGTCTTTCAGGTGTTCAGAAAAGGCTGACACAAGCAAACAAAGCCAAAAATGGAATTGCGGTGTCCCGAACCAATCCCTTTCTGAGACGCAGTGGGGCCTTTACCGCCTTCTTGGTTCCTTGCAATCCGACCTTGCCTTGGCAGGTTCAACTACCAAGCTGCCAACTGACAGAAAACATGTCTAACACGAGAAGTCCAAGTACCACACGCAAGGGTGGTAACGTCTGTGGCAGGTATCTGGGCCTCAAATTCAATCCAGCACATGTCATGAGTCATAACTCTTTTTGTTCCATTCCTGCACGTGCGCGCTTAGACCAACATCCACGACACATTGTAAAAACCGGCGTGTGCAGCCCTGTTCAACAAGCTGATCTAGGTCTAGAGTCTAGAGAGACTTTGTATGATGGCTTTTGTGTTGTAGGCCGTCACGGGCAGAGCATTTTGGCTAAAGCACAACGGGCTACCCTTCGTTGACCACCAGCAATTTTACGCTCACAATCCACATTCATCTGGCTCTCGGTCCAAGGCCCTCACAGGACATCGCCACAATTGACAAGTTAGCAAGCATGACGTGCCACAGGGCAAAAGGCTTGGCAACGCACAAGCTTTGGCACCCTGAGGCCCGTTTGACCAATCCTGGTTAAACGGTTAAACCACTCTCGTGGAAGCGAACGCAGCCAGCATCACATCAACAGCATCACACCCACCGGTCCAGAGCTAAGCCCACTGGAAAAACTGCTCAAGCAATCACTCTTATGTCCACTGGTGTTGCTGCATGTGCGCCACTGGTGCCAAAATGAACAACCCCTCAGCAAAACCAAGCAAGTGAATTTTGGAGTCGACTGTGAGGTTCAAACGGTCCTGCGCCTGGGTTGTGGAAGTAAGACCTTGGTTGCTGCAAACATTTAACTCCACACAAGATCTTGTCTCACCCATGCCACATCAGGCACGCCCTTTGAGTTCCGGACGCTTCGGCTTGGAGTTTCTCAAGCTGACTTTGCCAACCTCGGACGGCCACGGCCCACGGCTCTTCTTGAACTGACTGTTTCCAACATGCCTTGGGGACCGGCTGGCCATGTCAACATGTTTTGCGACGGCCGTTGTTTGATGTGATGCAGTTGGTATGTTCAATTGCATTTGTCTATTTCGTATAGACTCCGTCCGCCTGATTGGTCCACCATGCCATGCGTGTACACATGGCTAACACAAAGTAGAAACATGTTCGGGCACAGTGAAGAAAAGAACATGAAGATCAACAGAATCTCGAGCCAAGAAAATAGGCAAGTTTGCCAACAATGCTACAGTTCTGGAACGCATGTCTGACATTACACGCTACAAGCAAATGGTGATTACAAACGTGACCATTGACCGCGGCAAGCTCTGCACGGGAATACCTCGGCACAAGGACGCCTGCAATTGGGATCACCATCAAAATTGGCGCTACTTGTCGCAGCGCATGCGCTTTGAGAACGGGCTGTCCAGCGTATGACACAATGCTCGATTTGAGGCCCTTGCTCCAAAGAGATGGCCTCATACATGAAACATTGGAAAGGCAGAAGTAGGGTGCCTCCCTCTCTCTGTTTTTTTGCAAACACCTGTTGGGCCCGAGGTTCAATAAATAGACGATGTCCGGGCATACCCCGAAACGAAAATCCAACCTACGAGGTCCAACCGTTTGGACTTTAAAACTCCGAGATGATTTTTGGAAACCATTTCCCGCGCCTTGGAGTATAATTTTCTGTGGCAGGAAAACCCGGCACACAGATCTACGGTTCAACAAATTGTCAGGCTGCCAGTCAAGTGCATAAATCCGTCCACACTGATTGCGTTGGGTCGCGCTGAGCTTTAGGTAGGGGCCTCTTTGTCGTTAGGGATTGAAAATGCATATCCCACATCATGAGGTGTGTCTGGGAGAGTGAGAGAAAACATTGAAAAACCCGTGGATAAAAATTGTAATACCGCCTACTTACCATATCTCTGGTTCTTGTATCGTTTGCATCGCCGGGTCCATGAAAGGCCAGGTAAACAAACGACTCCTCTCAATTCAACACATCTATGTGAACACGACGCAGCGACACCGACCCTGCAGGAAAACGCTGGTACATGTCGGCTACTTGCCAAAAGCTTGAAACCACCAGCCTGCAGCCAAAAAGAAACACAGAATTGGCCCCTGTGCTCTCGCGCAAGAAAAGTTGTAATGATTGCGTGCATCGACTTCAATGGTGGAGAGACGATTGCTGCGGCGCCAGCCGCGGTAGGAGCGGGCCCAAATGATCCCGCGCGCATGTGTGTGTGTGCCCCTTGAAGTCACAGGGATTCTTTTGAATTGTTTCAGTCAGCAGGGGGTGCAAGCAGCCCATCCAGTCTCGCACCAACGAAGACACAGGATGTGTGCTGGTGAAATCAATCCGGGACGCCGGATTGACGTACCTGCTTGAAGAGAAACCTACGTAGAGCTCAAGCTGTCTACTTCGCTGTTTCCTTCAGTAAAGGGCTACTGCAGCAGTGATGAACTTGTCGTCCGTTCGATCGGTATTTCTTTTGGACCTCCACTTCCTTTTAGGTTTCCTTACCTGTACCCTTAGGAATTGGAACCCTAGGCCGGCGTGTGGCACCGCTATCAGTTCCGTATGCATATCCATAAGTGTGTGTGTGTCACTTACCCCCCCAAAAAAAAAACTGTTTCGTTCTTCAGAGTTTTTGCTGCACCTTTCTATACATAAATATAAAATGTTTATGATGCTTTATACACATGTTTATACACATATATATTACACATGTTTGTGCAGCAGCTCGAACAATGCTGTTTGCTCACTCGTGGACTCATAGATGCCTGCCTTGATCATTGATTGGAAGATACATGAAAATGCTATGCCGTGCCATCCCAGGCAGGCTGGTCACAAGTTCGCAGTTTCGACCTTTTTTTCGAGTCGCCAATCTAAGCCAGCTCCTCGACAAGCTCCATTTTATCATTCTCGTGTCCCCACAGCAGGATCGCTCGGAGAGTGCCAAGACAAACATTTGAGAAGTTGAAAGGCTGAAAGGATAGACTGGAAAGTGGGCCGGAGCTTCCAACTGCTCCGTGGCCAGAAGGGCTCATCACTCACAGACAAAAGCATGAAAAGCTAAGCTGGCCGACTCGTAGTTGCGGGTTGATCACTTGGCGTCGTGTGAGCGGACCAGCCTGGCTGTGGTCTGAGCTGAGTACTCTTGTGTCCCAAAAAGGTGAGCAGAAAAAAGCAGCTGAGCTCCCGGAAGAAATATCACTAGATTCTTAGATCTCTGGCCAAACATGCCAACATGGCCGCGAGATCAGCGCCGCCAAGGGGGTAGCATGCCTCAAAAAAAACTTTGAACTATCCACCATTGTTCCAAGCCGCGATGCATAAACTGCTTCTCAGTGCTTCACAACTGGTACGGCACCACCTCTCCACAAAAAAACAGCTGTAAATCTGCATGATCAAGATATCAACGAAACGATGTTGAGATGCCAAAACTGTGTTGCCCGCCGCTGCGGCCAGCGGCCGCACACGCCGCTCGACCTTGCCTACCATGAGGGCGAAGTCATGGCGTTCCACGCCCCACTTAAGTGCCTTGAGCCAGCAACAGCTCAGCGTTTCCAACCCCGAACATGCTCCCCCGCACAACTCCACAAAAAAGTGTCATTGGCCTCCAAAACAAGTGCGTTCAATAACTGACTTTGCAGCTGAGCATCGGCACCTCGCCTACATATCATGAAGGATAGCTTCGGCAACTCCAAGCTGCCATTGCAACACTACGGTAACGCTTTTGATTTGAGCGCACCCCGAATTGCCTGGTTAAGTTGCAGTCACAAAGGCCCTGGAGGCTGTACACTGTACAAAGCAAGGACAATCAGAATGGGTTGCAACAGTTTTCATGCACCCGTGGCAGAGTCGTCAACTTCATCCATAGGGCGCAAGCGCTCCTCACAAGTTGCAGCTACAGCATGCCAATCCAACTTTACCAGCAGCCACGAGTAGAGAACCATTTGCACGAACGGGCCAACCATCATACCAAGCCACAAGCCCGTACTTTTTAGGCCAGCAGCAAATCCCAGAGCAAGTGCAGCTGGAATGCCTGCGACCCAGTATGCCAACACACAGATTCGAGCACCCCTCTGTTGTTGTCCCGTGCCACGGATTGCACCGGAAAGGGCCGTCTGGAAACCATCAACGTAGTAGAATCCACACACGAAGATTGTAAAAATGGTGTCTAGGCCTGCTTTCACCCGCGCGTCCAGCATGTCTAAGTGAAGCACAGTGTCAACCAGCTGCCTGCACTGCGGAACCACCAGAACCTTGGCTCAAAATTTTGACTTTCAATGAAAGCATCTTGCCATCCTATCTGGTCATGCCTTCAGGACGAGTATCCACAGTCATTCTGTCGAAAGCTGCCGCCCCACATGTGCCACTGCCACATGGAGTGACCAACAACTCGATGTTAATCGACTATGCATACAATGCCTAATGTGGCTGTTGACGTTGCTAAGTCGCCCAAAATCCTTTGGGTCACATGCAAGCATTCTTTCTGGCTTCAAAAAGCCAAGAAGCCAAGGAGACGGCTGCTGCCGAAGGTATGGAGAGCACTGCAGCCACTCGCATAGCGCGCTGGGCTTCCATTGCAGCACCCCTCCCAATGGCATTGCCCACGCGCGTATCAGCACACACCGACAGCGCGGGGAACGGCGTGAAGAGGCATCCATACACATTGAGCGAAAGGCTCATGATGTCCACCTGTCGGATCGTCACATGGGACTAGACGGTCCCCAGTGTCCTTCCAAACCTCCAAGAACAAGTGAAATGAACTCTGGCCTCAATCTTGGGGAAAGGCAAAAGTGAGCTGGTTGTGACAATTCCTGAGAAGCCTGAAGACTCCAAGATTCTCATGGCTGCAGAGGGATATGCCAACTTGGACAAATCAAGCCAACCCGCGCCCCCCTGCTTGATTGCCTCATCTGTGGATTGCCCACCCCAAATGGTGGGACCAGCACCCACCAGCCAGACAGATGCAGTGCCAAAGAACAAGGTCATCCAGCCACTCAAGGAGGTAGCTACTGCAGCTCCCAAGGCACCAAAACGCGAGACTAGAGACAAACAGAATAAATAGTGACAAACCAGGGCCAGAAGTGACCTCACTGCTTTTCTTGCACATCTCACACAGCTTCTCCAAGTGAGGCTGAGACTTTTCCCCTACTAAATGTCTCAAGAAAAAATGTTTTTAAAATTCCAAGTGGCACAAACATGAATGGGGAAGTGATCCGCTGAGATGCGAGCACACGGTTCATGGGCCGCCATATGCATTGGGCGGCTAGGTCAGGGATGACAAGAAGCAAAAACTTGGCCGTGACATGTCCGATCGAAGGCTCTGTGACCAAAGGAAGCCACCAAAGCGCCGAAACACAAAGCAAGGTGAATGGTCCAAGATGGAGCCTGCACCGTTTTTCAATTGTTCAAAACATTGCATCCTGGATGTGCATGGGTCTTCTTCATGCCGTGCCCTCGCAACAAAAACGATATAACAACAGAAAACATATTTTTCAAAAGGCCATGCACAATAGGAAGAGGCAAGAACGGCGGAAGATTGGCCCCAGCAAATCTAGGCGGCCAGCTCCTGCTGCTTGGGAGGAAATCGTATCCACAGCACCACAAAGACCCATGATCAGATTTCGCCCAAGGCAAGCGTACAATGCCATTGCCAAACCAACAGCTGCTACAGCACCAGTGCCTTCGCCCCCAACAACATGAAGTGTCACAAATGTCGCAGCGCAGTTGATAAGCTGACCTAGCGGGTCAGAAAATGTTCAAACAACCCCTACTGCATGACACTTCTGAGTTTTACTTGGATAAATTGTTCCATAAACATCTCTAAATGCATAGTAATCAATGCATATTATGTGAATATTAATTCCAACCTGTTGCGAATGGCAACGCCAAGCGCAATTGAGCACCTGCTTCTGCCAGCCAACAGCGCAACCATCCCCGGCTTGATGGTGGGACCAGGGGCGCTTGACAGTCAAGGGAGGTCTGCACCATCACGCGCGCGTGCCCTACAAAAATCAAGGTCAATCTGGAAATCCAACTGCTATGAACACCTACAATCCCAAGGATTATTTCACTAGTTTCACTGGATATACTGGATATGTTAGGTTAAGGCATGTGTTGAATGTATCATGATGGGTTGCACATGGCCTGTGTTGTGGGACAGGCTTGGCAAGAATTGCGCTGACATTACGTTGCTTCATCACCTGTGCGCTCTGGATTGTGAACCATTGCACAGGGTTGTCGCCTGTGAAATCACCCCAAAAATTGTAAACAAACTGTTTCTCCAGGACAAACACAAAATGCCGCCGCAACACCAGTGAATAGCACCCAAAAATAAAATAGGCACCACAATTCCACATCAAACTAAAAAGGGGAAAGCACCATTCCTTCGCAATCCATGGTTTTGGAACAGGGCCAAAATTGGAACGGCCTCGAATCGCGAAAGCATTGACAAAGGGCTATTGGATATTGGCTCATGTCGGCTCAACCTTGAACGTTGCCAACTCTTGCATCAGCTTTGGGCAATCCAGGTTTGCCAACAAATTTAGCCTAAATCGGGGGAGAGGTCAAAAAATAAAAAGATCAGCATTAAAAAAATATGCATACTTCTTCTAGTCGTAGTAGTAGTAGTAGTAGTCGTCGTCGTCGTCGTGGTGGTGGTGGTGGTGGTGATGGCAGGCGAAGGTGGGCTTTGTGGCAGCGTCAACGCAAACAAGAAAGTCGTTGTGATAACTGTGGTAAGACTCGTAGTGGGGTGGGGTGGTCGGAGTGATAGAGGCACCGGTAGTAGTAGGGGTAGTGGACGGCACTGGGAAATATTAACTTGAGCGGGGAAACACAAAAGGTAGAGACGGACCGGGTAGCTGTCGGGATTTTTTCTGGTGAGGGACTGTCTCCAGTGTTTCAGGAACGTTCCCCTTGGTCAGTCATGGATGAAACCAACAAAGCCAAAGAGCACAAGAAGGCTCAAGAGGAACACCGTTGCGATCAGATTGCGCCACCCGGTTCTGCAGAGAGGCTGCGTTGCGTCGACGCTCGTTTGTGTGAAGGTGTGTGAAAACAGGCGCGCGTAAAAGTCGCAATGCGTAAACGCTCGCATGTTAACCAGCTATGGTCCCACAGCTACACGCACTGTGTCAGGATTACAGGCCTGCACGCGTTGCGTCGCAGCCGCCGGTACTGCCAGGGATGGACATCACGCTATAGTGGGTGGCTGATGGGAAGGGTGCATAATAGTAAATGCGGTAAGATGAAAGTAAGATGTCGCCACGCGAGGGTATAAGGCTGAGTCGAATGGTGCTCCGCGAAGCGAGAGGTTTCCCCACAGGGCTTTGCAGAGAGGCTGTGTTGCATCGATGCTCGTTGGTGTCGAGCAATATGGTCTGTGAACGCAGTACGCGCTATGTCAGGCTGCCGGGCGCGCACGCGCAGCATCGAAGCCGCATAGCGCAACCTCACTGCGCAGGGTTCGTGCTGTATTGCGCAACCTCATGGCCAGCGTCGTACTGCTGTGACTGCTACGCGCATGACTTCACCTTATTCACCTTATGGTGTGACGGTGTGTCCAGAATGCTA